GAGTCTTCATCTCAAGTTTTAGTGAGTAACTCTCTCGTTTCGACTTAGTGCCCAGCGAGTAGCAGCTGTCTTGGCGTTTCGACTTGGTGCTTCTACAGAGGTAACCAGTCTCTGTATCAGCGTTTGGATTTGGTGCCACAGTAGGCGAAGACTGTCTCGGCGTTTCGACTTATTTTGCTATTACAGACCAGAAAACTGTTATAGCGTTTTTGAATTTTGTGCCATAGTAGGCAAAGACTGTCCTGGCGGTTGGATATGGTGCCATAGCGGGATCAGGCTGTCTCGGCGTTTAGATATAGGATTTTTGATTTTTGTTGTTTTATTTGGTGTTTTTAATTGTTTTTAGTTTCGTTTAGTAGTCTCCCTATTAGTCATTAGGGCGGTCTGTGCGTTCTTGAAGATTTTCGCATTTCGAACACGTCGCAAGAATACCGACAATACCCCCTCTAGCACCTCAACGAGAGGGCTGCACACATTAGAGGTGGCGTAAATCGGTTTCTTGCGACGTGTTACCCCTATATCTGATAGAAAATTGACGAGTTTTGATAAAAGATTTCTGCTTAAAAGTTGGTGTGTGTGACGGGAAGACTGTAGCTGAGCATTTAAGACGATAAATAAAACCCCTTTTGGGCAGCATGGCAAGCCATGGGATTTTAGCTTTTGTGGCGCACTACTATGCACAAGAAAATTGACTGGCAACGTAATAGCTAGTTTCCGCCGCAAGCCACCTTAGCTGCCATGTGAGAATAGCATCAATATGTGTTGGAAAGATGATCGCGTTTATGTATTGCGCAACAAAGACGTCAAAGGCTCTAATAGGTGCGCGCACTCGGTGCAAACGAAAGGAAAAATGGAGGCTTGCAAACTTGAATTGCTTTTGAAGTTTGCAATGTACGATGTGCAACGCCAACCAGAATTCTCATCTAGGAAACCCCGTCATCTTGGAAGCGGAAACTCATTATGGAATAGGGTAAGTGAAGATTTATGGACAAATGCCACGGTGGCGTGGCTGAATGGCTGAGACGTCAGTTTGGGTCAGTTCCAGTCCTCAGCCGTTGCGATGTCCATCAGGTGTCGTGCCTTCGTCCCAACGCTAAAACTCAGAATAGCGAATGATAGCTTAGCTCCGGAAAACTAGTTGGGTGGTTGACGAATAAAAGTGTCGTAAAAGATGTAGCGTCGCGGAGAAGCTCGATACAGGGCTTCTCTAGATTGAATCGTACCATACACTCCGCGGGAACTAGTGGGACAGAAGGCAGTGGCACCCCCTCCTTTGAAACATGAGATTGTTCTTTCTATGTCTAACATGATACACTGTATTGCATTGTGATAGAAAGCTCATCACAGCTTGAACTATATCTCCAGACTGGTTATGTATAGTAGTTCAATTACCCATTTCATGACAGAGGTTGATTATAAGGAAAGATCAATGACAGCTGGCTCTAAGAGACTTTACTAGTATTTATCCAATACATACTAAGGTCTTAGGAATCTCCATCTTGGGTTAGTCGCGCCAGAACGGCCAGTACACCTACAGCCAGAGCAGCTGGGATGCCAGCTAAAGATGCACCCCTTTTCACCGCTGTCACGAGCTGTAGCAATGGTTATAGTAAGGCTGGGCACAGACTACTGCCATTTCTCTAATGAGGGGGTGGGGGCATGGTGCGGCGCCTCACCAATGGCGCAACAGAAGTTTGGCACCGGAAAGCCCTTCGGAACCTACCGGGCGCCACAGAACCTCAATAGCGACGCCATCCGTGACGATCTTCGCTTCCAACGGACGTGGCTGCAGGTGCTTGGATTGCGCGTTCTCAGCTGCGGGCGGACCCATGATCTGTGCCGTGGTGGGCTTTTCAAAAACAAAAAATGAGCATCGGAGGAAGCGCGGCTCGCTGGGAGAGACGGGCTTGTGGAGGCGGCCGTTGTTCACTACTGATCGTTGGATCGGTGGCTACAAAGTTATACGATCCCTCAAGGTCGGAGCGGTACCAGCGATGCTATCTTCCTCCCGGACCACACCTGAATACGTCCTCACAGAAGGGTAGTAACGCAAGCACTGTGACCCTTTTTTTCTGCACCCAAATTCGTCTTCAGCGGGATGGAAGATGGAAATTTGGAACAATGGCTGAAGTGTCGAGTTCTTGAGATAGCTTTAAAGAAATTTCTCCTAATGGATCCGACACAAGGTTGACTGTGGGATTGGGATTGATGTGCACCTAAAGAACGCTGCACAGGACGGCCTATCGTCGACAGGATATGGTGCACTGTAGCTATCAGCCGAACTAAACTCAAACCCAGAATCAAAAAGAAAACGAATAGCTCCCTCACGAGACAACTATGATCAAGATAACAACCGCTTCAAGTTGTCAGCTAAAAGAGAACATAGCTCATGCACGTCGTCGGACAATTCCTCAACACTGATACGAACAAAGTTCACGCCAGGTATATTAAGACTGTCTTGCCATATTTGAACCATTGAGCCCACTCCGGCCTGCCGTCTTGTCTAGACTGACCCTGAACATAGCTGCTTTCATCTGTGCCTGAAATTCCGCTCGCATATCAATTTCTGTCTAATCTCATCGTCTTCCGTGGCGATTCCTCCCTTTTGACCTGTGCTATTTTTGATCCGTGTCCAAATGAGCCAGCACTGAAAAATCGTGATCACTTAGTGAATTTGGTTACGCTCCTGTTTGTTTGATGCATGATTGGAACTTGTCAACGCAGCAGCTTTCACAACATAATGATTTTACGATACAGCAGATTCTACAACGCAGAATATTTTACAGCATAGTAGACTCTACAACGCACCGCCTTTCATAACGAAGTAGCGTACATGGGGAGCAGGCTTATTAAGCACAAGGCTCGCCAACGACCCTCTGCACCAGCACGATAGAAAGGCTGCATATGCGCAATTTGTGGTATTTCTCTTCACTCTGCAGCTCGATTCTGCTGTAAGACAATTTCAAAGCTCTCTTCAATTCAATTCTTCATTACACATCACTGCCCTTTCGGATATCTCCAAAGAATCCATCACCATGTCCTTCACCATCAACACCAAGCGCGCCGTCTGGTATCGCATGGAATTGAAACTTCATGCAAGTTCACTCTGGATAGCTTCTATTAATGACGGTTTGATGCTACCGAACCTTGACAATCATGTGCTTGAGGGCTGCGTTAGCCTAAGAAACCCCTTTTCCCTGCTTCAGTCTTCAGTACCAACTTGAAGATTATCAGAACTAGTCTCGAGAGATGTCTTGCTCTGGGCGATTCAAATGGCACGATCTTTCTCTAATGCCTTAATTGAGCAATTGCGCCGACAGGCCAGGCTCATCTCGTTGGTTCCACATGCTGAGAACGGCTTGCAGCGTCTTTCCCAGACCCCTTCCATCACCGACCAAGGTGCCACGAAAGATAGATCGACACGCAAAGTCAATCTGAGCTGCGCCCTTGAGTTGGTAATAGTGCGGGACTACGGTCATGTGGGGCGGTTTTTCCATCGGTTTCACGGCATGTAGAGCCTCCTGGCACGTGTTAGAAGATGCATTACAATGTAAAATATTCGCTTACGGTTATTTCCGTCTATTTCTCTTTAAAGCACTAGTAAGTTGTGTAAACAGATCTATCTAGTAGCTAGGTAAGATCGCTTGATTGTTACTCTTCGTCATCTGACTAAACATCGCTGCCTTCTGTTATGTCTTCTTGAAGTTGCAGTCCTAGATTCAACCTAGCACTGGCAATTTAATCTTTCTCTTGACTGTATTTGCCCTTGTAGAAGTTTTCTTCTTCATCTTTGGTACCTATGAGGCCAACGCCAGGGCGAATGTGTGACTCGATCTCTTCTAGCGTCTTTTCAAACTCGATACGCCCTGACCTGTAATCGCAGATTTTGATGTCGCACATAGAAAGAATGGCTTTGTCAGTGGAATTGAGCTTCCGTTCTTTGGCGGACGACATGGCGGGACTGGTGCGTGCGATGACCAACGAAGAAGAAGCGAAGAGTTAGTAGGAGTTGTAAGAGAAGTGGGAGATCAGTGGGGCTTGCAACAGCAGAAGTGAGAGAATTGCACGATAATGAAATGTGGGATTTTCCATTCGCGAGCGAGGTAAGTGGCGGTAAGCGAGGGCTAGGCAGCAAAGACGAAGTGAAGGTGAAGGTGAAGGTGGTAGAAGCACAGGTCACCTACTCAACACCCAGCAACCTTCACCACGCGACACCCTAAACTATCGCAAAAATGTTTTCAAAAAGAGCATTTAAAGGGTCTTGACAGTATTAAAGGGGAAGAGTTCGAGGAGCTTAGAAGTGCAACCAATCGAAGCCGAAAAGGGCGTTAGAGATCTTCATGCGCACCAAGGGAAAGCAGGCGAGCAGAGCACACCAAGCAAACTGAAAAAGAACGCAAAAGAATAAGAGAGGGTAAAGTAAAAGCAGTCAAAGACAACGCAACGATCACAAGGTTATCCCTGGACTGGCAGAAATGCCCAAGGCTTGGCAATTTCTCTTCTCCTTTGCCAGTTAAGGATATTCCACTAAACCGCGATCCGAATACTAGACTATCTCTCTGACGCCTCTACAAGCATATCAAGCTTAGAGATTCTTGGTTTAGGTCAATTTTCACTTTATCTTGACTTAAGCTTCAACTATTTCTATCTTACTTATACTTCATGTTAGGCATTTTCTACCTATTTACAAAGGTGCTTCTACGCTTAGTCAACTAATTCAAGCTATCGATAACTCTCGCTAAGGCTACTATTCACGTCCCTCACATAGTTACCCTGGACAGCTACGTGGCTGGCGTGATTCGTGCCCCTATTTTTAAGATTTAACCCCCGCAGAAGTACTGGAAATAACCAAGTTTGCGTTCTACGTTGCAAAATTTACTGCATCTCTTAGTGTGATATTTATTTTGAAAGCCTAGAACACGTTTTGCATACGCTAAAGTATCCTGTACCTACATTTGTAAACTTTCAATAGCAATAGGAAGAAACTATAACGTTTAAGACCCTACTTGTAATTTGCTAGTATGAAGCTGTGTAGATGCAAAGCAATTCGGTACTTAAGCAGGGGATAAGTCTCAAAAAGAGGGGGACAAATCACGCCAGCCTTTACGAGATACTCTACTCAAACCTTATCCAAGGCTAGGCGCACAGACATTGTAATAGATTCTCGGCGCCTCGCGTGTCTACTACTGCCGATCTCCACATCCCGAACTACTCAGTCTTCGGGTATAGCTAACGCAAAAGTGATAGCGCCTGGTAGGTATAAGTGTCTAGGAGTAGACTGTGAGAACAAGACCAGCGATTTGCACTGCCCTAATTGCCTCAAGTCAAGCGTTCATGACAGTTTCTTCTGCTCGCAAGACTGTTTCCAGGCCTTTTCATTTACTAGGTTCGTTCGGCCCGTCGATTCACCTTCCCCACAACGAGCCATCCCTGAGTCCATCAAGGGCCCAGATTGATGTGAGACATGCATTCCAGGGGCTAAACAGTACTTGAATCGCTCCAAAGTCGGCTTTCTCGATTCTGAAAGCCGAGAGACAATAGGCAAGGTGTGCAGGCTGGCACACGAGGTCCTGGAAGTAACCGTCTCAGCGCTCCAGCTAAGCACCCGGCGGGCTACCTCGATGAAATTTGCTTCCAGGCCTGCGTCGAGCGAAAAATAAGCTTGTCTCCTCCGTGGTGCCTCGGATACTTACTTATGCTGATAGTGTAGGTTCAAGGTGGAGAAGCGGCCGACGCTTCAAGCTCCACAGTACCGTGCGTTACACCTTTGTGGGATGTGCATGTACACCAATAGAAAAATTATTAACACCATTCGTTCGTCGCTTGGGAGATAAATGCCTAACGACCTGATATCAACAGCTGTTGTGTAGCTGTCGTACTAGACATCGCGAATTATTGATAGCGTTGAACATCACAGAGCTTAATTTGAACCACGTGAAGATGGTAGTAGCAATTGCGATGATACATTCCTATCTGCGTCATCCATGTGGCATGATTTCCTTTGCATGATTTCCGTAGCCTTTCGGCGACCGTATTCAGTAGTGTGCCTACTATATTTGCAGTCACGCCTTTCTTTCCCGAGTAAGTGTAGAACTTAATTTAGTGTTTTCGATTGTTCACTCACTGACTAGTAGTTGCAGCAATGCCAGCCATCACTTTGTTGATGACAGCCCTTAGAGAAGCAGGCACCTTGGCAGTTACTCTGCGTAGGGTACGAGTTAGATTCGCAAACGTTTTGTCTTTTTTCATGCGGCATTCCAGCGACGAAGACCGTCGCGTAAGCGGCTAGGAAGATAATCGACACTGAAAAGCTCTTCATGCTGCAATCTACTTAGCGTACGGCTGGCGTCTAAGCTTTATGCACTTACACTGTTGATTATTGTTTCTTATCGAATTTAGAGTGGTATAAAATGTGTCTTGTAAGATACCTGTGTACTATCTGTAAGATCTTGATATTTATATATCTTCTATTGTATCGACTACACGACACCACCAACTTCGAGTTGTCTAGAAGCCGCTAGGAAAGCACGCTATCTAGGAGAACCGACCACGAGGAATCGACTAACAGCACTTTCAACACCTGCAGCTAAGGCGCTAGCGCGCAGTAGGGAGAAGAAAGAGGCCTTCCTTCGTTATCTCACGCCTGTGAGAATTTTCTCACAGAGCTTAGGCTCTAATGCCAAGACTAGAGGGGCTAATAGGAACGTAGGAGCTTATTGAAGCTTAAATTTAGCAAGAAACAGAAATATATCAAAATAATAAAAATAACAAAAAAAGACTAGCCTTAAAGGACCTTAGAGGCACAAGCAAACGACTAATGGATAATAATCCAGAAATTAAGATAGCTAAGGAGGCCTCTACGCCTTGCCCTAACAGGCAACCAGAAGAACCGCCTAGGCCTACCTATACTAGGACAAGGAGTAATTTTTCTCCATTTATTGGAGCAGTGCCAAGATACCCTACAGTAGGGAAAACACCAAAGGCAACCTCTATTAAGGAGGCCTTAGAGATTGCTAGAAACCTAGTAATCTAAGCAGCTAACCTAGCTAAAAACAACCCTACTAGGCAAACTAGTTTACTAGACCTTGTAGAAGTCTTTAGAGACTTTACAGAGAATGGCAGAGTAAACAAGAAAAACTCTACAATTCTAGAAGACTAAATCTCCTCTCTATCTAACGTCTCTAAAGAACTAAGAGAGAAAGTTAGACGCCTTAAAAAACCAAATACCCCGCCCACCTAACCTTAAGCTTAGCCCCCTAGCTCCTACGCAATAGTAGCAGCTAGTAATTAAGAACAACCTTAGACATATATCTAAAAAAAAAACTAAAAACACACAAAAAAAACACCTAAAAAGACAACTAAAAAAAGACTACTAGCCTATTAGATTGCTAAATCGTTCTAGTTAGCGATATACCTACTGTATTTGACGCCCTAAAAATTGGAAACGCCTTCAACAAAGCCTTTACAATAAAGGGAGAGGTACAATCCCTAGTAGTAGCCTTAGTAACACCTTTAGCAAAAGGCAATAAAATAGTTACTACCACCCTAGCTTTTTTAGCAAAATACCTTCTAGAAAACCAAGAGATCTAGAAGGATATCACAGAGTTCAAAGCAGCCCAACCAATCACCCCTTGGTTCAAAGTAGTTATCCATAAACTACCAACAAACCATAGCCTAGAGGTCCTAAAGGAGGAAATCGAAATCTTCAATAAAGGCCTAAAGGTAGTAGGCAACCCCTTCTAGCTAACACTAGAATCTAGAAGAGGAAACCAAAACTTTAGATCCGCCTGCGTAGCTTTTGCTACAGAACAAGAAGCCCAAAGAGCTATTAGAGGAAAGCTCTATATTCTAGGGCAGAGCCTTAGAGCAGAGAAACTAAGAGTTATTAATAACTCTAAATAGTGCTCTAAATGCCAAGGTTTTGGGCACCTAGAGGCTAAATGCTCTAAAGTAGCCTGCTAGATCTGCAGCGAAGCCCACCACACTAGCCTCTACAAGTGTAATTCTTGTTTAAGCAAAGGCAAGCCTTGCGTTTACACTATCTTTAAGTGTGTAAATTGTAGCAAGCCCTACGCAGCTAACAGCTAAAACTACAAAATCCTACAAGCTAGGACATCTAGGACTACTACCTCTTCTAACTAGAATGTTAAAAGTCCTACAAATAAATGTTAATAGAAGTAGCCTTGCTACAGAGAGCGCTCTAAATCTAGCTATTCAAGTAAACGCCAAGATTATCGCTATTCAGGAACCCTGGCTACTAAAGGGACATACCTACGAGAATATTAGATCAATCGCCCACCAAGACTTTACTCAAATACTCCCTACTTATAAGGGGTTAAGGCCAAGAACGCTCTTTTATATCAGAAAAGACATAGATGTAGAGGTTAACCTATATATTAGCAACAACAACGATTTACAAGCTATTACAATACTCTCCTCTTTAACTAGGATCTATATATATAACATTTATAACGAAAAAAGCCTAAAAGAAAGGCTTAACAAGACAACAATCCAAAGGCGCCTACTTAAAGAGACTCTAGAACCCTCCTCAATTATACTAGGGGACTTTAACACCTACTACCCTAGATGGAGCCTACAGGATAAAAACCCAAACCAAGAAGCAGAGGATCTTGTAGAGTGGGTAGACAACCAAAACCTTTCTCTACTAAATACTCTAGGGACTGGCACCTTTTTTCGAGTAAATATGCGGCAAGAAAGCGTACTAGATCTTACTTTTGCAACCAATAATATAGCTGCCAAAATCCAGGACTAGCAAACTATACCAAGAGTTGGATTAGACCACCACGCAATCCTTTTTAGTATTGAAAGCCTAGGCTAGCTACCTAGCCAGCTAAAGAGATTTAATATTAAAAAGACTAACTAGGACATCTTCAATAATACACTTAATAAAGAAGTCAACAACCGACAGCTAGAGGCACAACTACTAGACCTAC